AAATAAATAAAATTTAATTGTTTTTATGGCGGTACTGGAGATTGAACTCACGACCCTACACTTGCCAGGTAGGCGCTTATTCTACTGAGCCATCTCCCCAGCCCTTTTAAAAATATATATATTGGGGCTGGGGAGATGGCTCAGTGGAATAAGTGCTTCCCTGGCAAGCACAAGGGTCTAAATTCAATCCCTGGTTCCAAGCAGGGGTGGGGGTGGGGGGGTGGGGAGGTAGGATACATTATTATTATTTTCCTCATGTATTTTAGTGTAAGGTCTACAGGGTCTCACTACACAGTTTGGACTCATAGTGATTCTCCTGTTTGCAGCCTCCCAAGCGCTGGGTTTATAGGTGCAAACCACCACAACCAGTCTGGATGCCATCTCAGCATGCCCTGGGGGTGGGGCTGGGCGGGGCTGGGCAGGGCAGGGCCGGCATGGCAAGCTGGGGATGGAACCCAGGCCACGGCACTCTGCCTTAGCAGAGGCTTTTGCCCGCTGAGCTATTTGACCAGCCCTTGTTTTTTGAAACAATGTCTCGCTATGCAGTTCAGGCTGGCCTTAAACTCACTGTGTAGCCCTAGCTGGCCTCAAACTTTTGGGAATCATCCTGCCTCAGCCTTCTGAGTGCTGGGATCACAGATGTGCCCCACCATACCCAGCTCATAGTTTAAATTGATTTCATTATATCTACTAGCAGAGGGAGAACTGAGTCCTGATTGAATTAAAATAAAGTCAGGCCAGGGAGATGGCTTAGCAGAATAAGCGTTTCCCTGGCAAGCGCAAGGGCCTGTGTTCAATCCCCGGTTCCAGCAAAAATAGAGAGAAAATTAGAATAAATTCGTTTTTCAATTTTCTGAATAAAATTGAGAATTAGTGGGCTGGCCAGATGGCTCAGTGGACTAAAGGGCCTGCTTAGGAAGAGCGCAGACGCTGGGATTCCATCCTCTGCTTGCGGTGCTGGCCCCGCCCCTGGGGCACGCTGAGAAGCCCATTGAGACCGGGCATGGTTACCCAAACCTGTAATCCCAGCGCTTGGGAGGCTGAAAAACAGGAGGATCACTAAGAGTCCAGTCCAATTTACATAGTGAGACCCTGTAGACCCTGCAGACCCTGTACCAAATACATTAAAAAAAAAAAACCCTGAGAATTAGTGATCAATTAGTTCATTCATCTGTTTGTAAAATAGTGCCCTAAATCCTGTGAGAGGTACAACCATCAAAGCATGAATGAGAATCACATGAAGTGATTAAGTGGCAGCATAAAGCAGAACGTTAAGTGCTGGATTTTAAATAGGGCTGGTTGGGGAGATAGCTCAGTGAAATAAGTGCTTCCTTGGCAAGTGAGCGCAAGGGCCTGAGTTCAGTGCCCGGTTCCGCAAAAATAAATGATAGGGCTGATGTGCAGCTAAATGATAGAGTACTTGTCTAGTATGTGCAAGACCCTGAGTTTGACCCCAAGTACTATGCACATACACACAAACACAGAAGAGGCCGGCCAAATAGCTCAGCGGATTAAAGCACCTGCAAGCAGGTGCAGTGGCTTTCCCTGCCCCTGGGGGGCAATTGAAACGTGGTGTCGTGCTCCTGCAATCCCAGCTCTTGGGAGGCTGTAAACAGGTAGATCACTACAGAGGAGAAGAGTCCTATCTAGTAGTGAGACCCTGAACACCCTGTAGACCCTTCCCTAAAATGCAGACAAACAAACAAAATCTCAGAAAACTGAAGTGTCAGGTGTGGTAGCACATACCTGTAATGCCAGCACTTGGGAGGCTGAGGCAGAAGAATCTCCTCGAGTTTGAGCCCTGCCTGGACTACACAGCCAGACCCTGTCTCAAAACAAACAAACATAAATAAAGATATTGGACTGTGTGTCTCCATGCTAACATGCATATTATGAACATTTTTTGATCACTTACAATAGGTCAAGCACTTTATTTTATATTTTTGGGTAGCTTGAGTTGAACTTAGGACCTTGTGCTTGCCAGGCAGGCGCTTGTGCCACTGAACTATATTTCTGGCCTCAAACACGTTAGATTATTTAATTCATTTAGTCTTTAGAATTATTTATTTA